GGAGATGATAGATAAATAGATAGATAGAACAAGAAAGCGAGCAAGCTTTGGACCACTTTTATATATCTCTAACCTAATTTTAATGTGGTTCAATGCAAGGGGTTAATTCAGACTTCTAGCAATAACTTCATTTCCCTGCCTGTATCCTTCTTTTTGGGACAGAGACCAAAGATTATCAGGGGGAAAAGGTGGGGTAGAAGAAAGATGGGTGTCCCAGCTCTTTCTTGCCTGTAGATGTACATCAACGTTGGTCAACCTTGGCAACTTTAAGTTGTGTGGACTCCAACTCCTAGAATTCTTCACCCAGCATGCTGCCTGGGGAATTCTGGAGATCAAAGTCTACACATCTTAAAGTCAGCAAAGTTGAGACACTCTGATCTAGAGCATCTTTGAATTGGAAATGCATTGAATGATACTTTACCTTGGGCACCTATTTCAGTGGACATGACGCTCCACTGAAATAGGTGCCCAAGGCTCTTTATGCAATTTCAATTGCCTCCTGAATCCCTGCAGGCAATTCTAGTAAAGTATCATTCAATGCATTTCCAATTTAAAATGATAAAAAAGAAGAGGCTGAAAATCAATGAATGAAGAAAAATGGATGGGACATAGTTTCTGTTCTAGAGGCTGATGCTTTCGGGGATCAGGGAAGCAATCTTTCTGTCTCCCTACCCTCATTCTGTGGAACAGGATGGTTTTTAGGATGGTCTTTAAAACATGGCTATGTCATCAGGAAACCATTTCTGCCTCTTTCTTCTGAGTAAGTGAGCTATCAAGATGTCACCCACTCATCTCTCCTTCCAACTTTGCTGAGTCATCTCTGATTCAGTACAAGTTAGAATGGAACCAGGGCAGCTATCATTGTTCTTATAACATTTTATAGGGGTTATGGGCACATTAGCTTTGGGCTGCCTATACGTTTCTGGCTCAAAACTGTAGAAATAGAATATGGGACTGTATAGGCTTTCAGAAGACTAATATGGATCTTCTTATATACAACTGATAGTTTGCTCCCTTGACATAGGCTAGCATTGAGGCAAACAGAAACAAAATGTCACTTGCAGAAGTGAGAGGAATTCAATATAGTATTATGAGAAAAGCTGTGTCTGCAGCTACCTGAATCCACCAATTTTGTTTTGAGCCCCCAGAGATTCTTTCATATAGATTATCTCCCTTCTCTGTTGTATTTGGAGAATTTGAAATGATTTTATATAGAGATATTGAAAACCCACAAAATGGTGGTTGTTGGTTTTTTTTTGTATCAAAGCAATCATCTGAGCAGACCAAAATAATTAGCAAACAGGCCCTGGCTGCATGGAAATTGTCCATTCTAGATCATAAAATATAATTTTAAGAGAGAAGATTAGAATGTTCTTCAGTGTAAGTTTATTTTACACAAACTTCTAGCTATTGGTAGCAGGCTCAAGGTAGATTTTGTCTTCCAGACTTAATGATTTATATGGAAATAATCTCTCTGGATACATCTGGAAATAGCTATGGTTCTAAACATTCCTGAGAATTAAATCACATGGAAATAATTTATACTCAAAATTAACATGATTGTTAATTGTTAATGGTTATTAATTATTGTTTCTGTGGAAATATGATTGGCTGTGGGACACATAACAACCGAAGATGAGGTTTATGTGCAAGCTCATATAGCATTCTCTACCAAAATAGAAATTTGTTATTATATATAAGGAAGGACCAGGCCTGCAAGTTATGTTTCATCCCAGTTAAATGGGGTTCTCCTACAGTGGCCTGAATATTTTCACTGTTATGCAGATAATCAAATTTAACATAACCCAAGCTTTTCGTACCAGAAGTCAATAACTGTGGAAACCAAGTTTCTGCTATTTTTCTCATTCAAAAACAAGCTAGCAAAAAGAAAAAAACAGTTTTTGCAAACTAACTGTTAAAATCCCTGACCAAGAGAAAATAAAAAAAAAAACTTGAGCTTGCCAGAGCCAAGTATGAGTAACCATTTAGAACATCCTTGTTTGAGCAAATTTATTTTGCTCACACCATTACCCAGCCACAAAATATAGCAGGGGAAAATCTATTGCTCGTGTCTCACTGATAGATTAGAGCTGAACAAATACAGTATGAAATAAAATGTATCTGATCATTACCACTTTCCAGTCTGATTAGCGTTCGGCTGCAAAGTGTAATATTGCTGGGTATGTTTTTTTCTATCGTAATGAAATTTCCCTTCTTAACATGCAGTTTTATGACTTACAATAAGCAATGGAACAAATGCCTTTGGAACACATAGTTATAATTATGTGAGAATGATAGATACACAGCAACCCATTATATTGTTCTTGATTTAGCACTTTTGCAGCAGTTCTACGGCCAGAACTACAGTATATGAATTAGCATACAGACAGGTAATTTTAAATATCCCTCATGATCAGTGTTGATCTTTAATCCTTCCATACTCAATTTTCTACTTCTAAATGTCCACGCTATCATGCAAAAGCAATTTTCTTAGTGATACAGCTTTTTCTACCAGAATATTGCAAATGGGCTTGGAAATGTGTAGCTGTTTCTGCAAATGAGTAGGGCTTTGTAAGAAAGTACTCAGATCAGAAATTCCCCTCGGGGTTGTAATGACTTCAAGAACTGACCCAACTAAAAGAGCACTGAAGCTGAATTCTTCTGGATGTCTGATGCTTGATTGGGTCTTAGAGTCACATTTAAACTGTACAATGCCAAGCCTCTAATCCAGGGGTGTCAAACTCACGGCCCACGGGCCAGATGCATCACGTGCTGGCCCCACCTGCCTGGTTTAGCAAGGGGGGGGAGTCCCGCTACATTATATGACACCACATGATGATGCAAGTTTGACACCCCTGTTCTAATCCTACAAAACATCATTTTGCAAAGAGACATGTAATCTTTCTCTCCATGCAATAGCGCTGAAAGTGAATATATTTACAGCTCCAGCAGTGATTCTTCAACATGCCCTTGTTCAGTTTTAAAAATCAGTACTAAGTGGCTGTATATAAAAGGTAAGAAATCATTAATATTTAATGGATATAGTCCATTAACCTGCATCATCATTCTATATTTAGTCATCTCAATAATTCATCACGTTGCATCCTCAATGAAATATCATTTTACATCAGATGATACTGTATTATCAATAAAGAGGAACAGCAACAGTAAAAACTGCTGTGGCATTCCTTGCAGATTTGAGGAGAGGCAGAAATAATCTTAAAATGAGGAACAAAAAGAAAAGAAATTAGATTCAAAGGAACCAGTCTTAATATGTTTTAAGTTATGTCTTAAAAGAACTTAGTATTTTGGTGGTGTATAGCAAAATTCTTCCTTTATATTAATGAGAAAAATATATTTTTTTAGTTCGATTTGCCATTACTTCATATTCATTACAAACAACTTTCTTCCAGCCTTTTTAAAAAAATTGTGCCTGTTGGCAGCTTTGAGAGCTACTGGGGTTGATCCAGTTTTTTCTGTGTTTTCATTTTTGATTGGGAAAGTCCAGTAGCCTTTTGGAAAAAGCACTTTTGGGACATTAACATGGCAGAGCAGAAAACACAGGGGCCAATTCACTGATTTGCTGATAAATGTGATTTGGGAAGAGTGAGTTTTGAAAGGGTAGATTCTTGGATCTTACCTTGTAAAAGAAATGTAGCCTTTATTTCTGGTGTAGTTTTATAAACACATGTGTAATTCCCCATCTGGTCTTCACTTCTGACTTTTATCCTTAAAAATAGTTAAGCAATTGATACATAATGAACACTATTGAGCTATAAAGTAAAAAAGTAAAAACAAAGAAAAACAATATGAAAACAGCAATTGAAAAATATATAACGGCAATGTTCTGAATTGATAAATGGTGACATGCAAATAGCTTGTTGAAACAGATACAAATTTATGATAGCAGAAATATCATGCATTTTTAAATGGATTATCACAGTTAATGGATTATCACAGTTCAGATAACTACAGATGGAAAGGACCTCAGTCATCCTCTAATCCAGGGTTATCAAACTCAAGACCCGCGAGCTGCATCCGACCTGGGGGGTGCTTAGATCTGGCCCATGGGACCACCACAGAAACAGCAAAGGACCAGCCCGTGGTGCCTTTGCCAGGGAAAATGGAGCTGGGTATGTGTGTGTGTTTGCTACAACAGCCTCCTGCAGCCCTCTACCAGTGAAAAGGAGCTCAGGGGGGTTGCATGTGTGGCCTCCCTGAGGTCCATTTTTGCTGGCAGAAGGCTATCAAAACAAACTAAAAACAAAACAAAAGGAGAAATGTTTCCACTTTTTGCATTTAAGCATGCAAGAAGGGACAGGAAAGGAGGAAGGGAAAGAGGGAAGACAAAGAAAAAGAAGGGAAGATGGGAAGAGGAAGGAAGGAAAAATAAGGAAAGAAGAGAAGAAGGAAGAAGGAAGGAGAATGAAGAGGAAAGGAAAAAGAAGAAAAAGAAGGGAGGGAGGGAGGGAGGGAGGAAATTATGAGAGTGAGGAGGGTCGGAGGTAAGTCCTGCCTTAGGACTTGGCTACCACAGGTGCCCCCGACATGAGTGATGTCAAGCTAGCCAAGCCCACCCTGGCCACGCCCAGTCCCCCACCCAAGGCCAAATACAACCCTGATGCAGCTCTCAATGAAATTGAGTTTGACACCCTTGCTCTAATCCAACCACAGCCCCCTGCAGGTATTTGGTACTAAACAAGTAAGTCCTCAACTTAAGACTACAATTGAGCCCAAAATTTCAGTTGCTAAATGAGACAGTTGTTAAGTGAATTTTGCTCCTTTTTACAACTTTTCTTCCCCTCGTTAAGGGAATCACTGCAGTTGTTAAGTAAATGGCTGTTAAGTGGGTCTGGCTTCTCCATTGGACTTTGCTTATCTGAAAGTCGCACAAGGGGATCACATGGCCCTAGGACACTGCAACCGTCATAAATACATGCCAGTTGCCAAGCGGCCAAATTTTGATCTTGTGACCATGGAGATGCTGCAACAGTTGTAAATGCGAAAACCCATCATAAGTCACTTTTTTCGGTGCCAAAGCTGAACTTTGAACGGTCACTAAATGAATGGTAAGTCAAGAAGTACCTATAGCAAAGATCTCCAACTTTGGCAACTTTAAGCCTGGTGGACTTCAACTCCCAGAATTCTGGGAGTTGAAATCCACCAGGCTTAAAGTTGCCACGGTTGGAGAGTCCTGAGCTAGAATATCTCCAACTGATAGTCATCCAACCTTAATTGAAATAATTCCAGCAAACAAGATTACAATTATGCCCCTACCCAAGGCAGCCTATTCGATTGTTGAAAGGCTGTTGCTGTTTGGAAAATGTTCCCTGATCCCCATCCAAAATCTCCTTCCTTGTAACTTAATCATCCCACCACTTCTTGGCTTCTCTTATGAACAATTCTGTTCTATCATCTACACAACAGCTCTTCATGTACAGCCCAAGTACTAGATTAAGAACAAGTTTCATTCTTTAACTGTTTTTAACTTAGTTTTGTTTGAACTTGTTCTTACAAATAGACTCCCCATTATTCAAAATGGCGGACAACATTCTCCTTTTTTCAAGCTGATGAATCAGTAAAACCATGCAATGTTTTTCTGAACTGCTAAACACCACTGAAAACAAGCTGTAAAAAAGGGCAACTTCAACAGTTCATAAATCACTGTGTGGCTTGTTGGCTTAAGGAAGGACAATGTCCTCTGCCATTGTTTTTAGTAAAAAGCAACCGGTTGAATGTTCTTAACCCAGGGACTTCCTGAACTTGAAAGGCATTATTGTATCATTCCACAATAAACCCAGTATCTCCAACCTTTTTTTCTTTTTTTCTTTCAAACCCTTTCTTGTGTTAGTTAGCTTCTCTGGACATAGTTAACCAGTATCCTGCCTCAATCAAGTTTCTAGAAGAAACTTAGTCCACAACCTATAATCTCAAGTTGCTTGCAGTTCTTAAAATGCTTAGCTGAAGTACTAAGAACCTTCCAAAAGGTATCAAATCATAAGATTTAATGTAGCAAGCAAAAAAGAAATTACTCCAACTGTTAACAATTCTTTCAATCAGAATAGAGCTGGAAGGGACCTTGGAGGTCTTCTAGTCCAACCCCTTGCTCAAGCAGAGATCCTGTACCACTTCAAGCAAGTGGCTGTCCAGATTTTTCTTAAAAACCTTCAGTGATAAAGCACTCACAACTTCTGAAGGTAACCTGTTCCATTGTTCTCGCTCTTAGAAGTTTCTCCTTATTTCCAGGTTGCTTCTCTCCTTGATTAGTTTCCATCCATTGCTTCTTGTCTTATCTTCTGGTGTTTTAAAAAATAAACTGACCCACTCTTCATTGTGGTAGCCCCTCAAATAGTAACATCATTTAGCAATAGTACTTAGACTTATATACCATTTCACTGTACTTTTACAGACCTCTCTAAGTGGTTTATAGAGTCAGACAGGGGTGGGATTCTACAGGTTCGCACCTATTCGCTAGAACTGGTTGTTAACATTCTAAGCAATTTTGAGAACCGGCTGTTAGAAGAAATTACTGGCCTAATCCTGTAAGGAAGGCAGGAAGGAAACATTCTGGTGTTGCTTACAGAAACTGCCTCTCAGTTAACAGCTATTACATTCTTGGCAGGACTAGACTTCCTGTCTCTGGAACTTCTCTGGAGTTTTTTTTTTCCTTCTTTGCTGGTACTTTGCTTGTGTGGAGTGACCATTCAAAGTTACAATGGCACTGAAAAAAGTGACTTATGACCATTTTTCACACTTACGACTGTTGCAGCATCCCCAGTCATGAGAGGCCAGGTGAGGAGATGCGTGTCTTGATGTGAGTGATGTTGAGTTGGCCACGCCCAGCCAGTCACATGACCACCAAGCCATGCCCACAGAACCAGTTGTTAAAAAATTCGAATCCTACCCCTGGAGTCAGCCTATTTCCCCAACAATCTGGGTCCTCATTTTATCCATCTCAGAAGGATGTAAGGCTGGATCAATCTTGAGCCTGGTGAGATTTGATTTGCCGAATTGCAAGCAGCTGATAGTAAGCAGAAGTAGCCTGCAGTACTGCACTATAACCACTGGGCCATCACAACTCATGCAAATATTGGAATACTGCTATCATGTCACCCCTAGTCCTTTTTTTCTTTAGACTTGCCATACCAATTTCTGCTGTTCTTCATATGTTTTTGTCTCCAGGCTTTAATCTTCTCAGTTGCTCTTCTCTGCACTTTTTCCAAAGTCTCAACTTTTTTTTTTTTTGTAATGTGGTGACCAAAACTAAATGCAAGTATTCCAGGTACAGTCTTACTAAGGTTTTATAAAGTGGTTCTACATGAGTCTTTTAGCCAATGCAGGTGCTCCTCCTATAGTGTCCCTCCATACTAAAAGATTGTTCCTCTATATTTTAAACTATTTAACATAAAAGCAACTTACGTATATCGAGTGCACCATTTGGAGTGAGTTTCATTCCTCCTGATGGTCTCTGGGTTGAAAGTTGCATTTCCTGAGTTCCACACGGTTTCCATTTTTGTTGTGTTTGTGGAGTCGCTGATGACCAAACTACACATTAGTTCAAGTTCAGCTGGACTCTCTAATGTGATACTTTTTGTTTGAGTAACTTTGGGAAAACCTATGGGAAATAGTTAGGAGATAACACTTCCCTGATTAAAATAAAAGAATTGCAAAAATAATAATAATCAGTGTATTACTCAAAGAACTTTTGGATCAACTATTAGCTTCAAAACAATTAACACATTTAGATGAATTTGGCCATTAAAAGCTTTAGCTTTCTAAAATATTGCAGTCAAACTTTGTTTTAGATACTCTAGAAGTTGAATTTTAGACATGATTTCTAAAACGGTCTTAGTAAGACTATGTCAGGAGAATATTGTACAACTAACATTTCATTCATAAAACAATTGCCTTGGCTGTTTGATAATCCCTTGATCTCTAACTAGATGCACTATTATGCTACCTTTTAGCCTGTGCTTAACAGAGGACATAACCTATGCTGTCATCAGAATCCAGATGCATCAGAATTTGCTATTGAATTTGAATTTGGAAGCCTGCCACAACTCAAGGAGAACCAGTTCCAGATGAATCCAATCTAATTATTCTAATACCCAAACTTAGAAGAACACCAAAAATGCCACAGCAATGTAGCTAATTTTCCAAAATGAATGACAGCTGAAAAAATCTAATTGTTCACTGAGGGTGTGTATCCTCCAGATATAACCTATATATATATGTTCGCTTCCGTTTGAGAAAGTAAACAACCAAGCTCAGAAAGCAACAAGGACCCCGAAGTTCAACCCTGAGCTACAAACATTCCTTTCTATTAGTTCAGATAATGTACTAAAATGACTAGGACTTTGGTTGAACCACAGATCTTTTTCACTTGGAATGCACCCTGTATAGAATTATTACTCCCTGACAGTCTGCAAGGAGGATGAATGATGCATATCATGAACTATTGCTCAAATTAAGCCAACTTACATAATTTGCATAATCTTTTTGATAACATCTAATGACATGCATGACATCATGGTTTCTATCAGATGTCTACATGTCCATCATCAGAAAAGCATGACTTTATCCACAGCCATTTCTTTCCCATCTTCCATCACTGAACAGTAAATGATGGCAACCTTTGGGAGAGGGAATTCTCTTACAACATGAATCAACAGATCATGCATTGGTGGGATATGTCAAAATAGTACTACCATGTTTCCCTGAAAATACCGCCTACTCAGAAAGTAAGTCCTAGCTTGATTTTTACATGTGTGCCCAATACAAGCCCCACCCCCCTCCAAAATAAGCCTAATTAAGACCCCTTCCATTCCAGGGTGCACAGGTAAAAATTAAGATAAGGTGGGATGGAGGTGGAACTGTCTTACTACTTACCTTCTGATAGTTGCAGCCGGGCCTCGCACACTTCAGCCCACTTCTTTTGCTGAGCCAGCAAGGCTTTCTTGAAGGCCTCTGTAGCTGATAACCAAGCTCTGGTTCAATCGGGAGCTCTGTTACAGCTGCAAAGGCCTTCAGGAAAGCCTTGAAGGCTTTGCTGGACAAAGAGATCCCCGAAGGCCTTTGATAGTGAAAAAGAGGCCAGGGGTCTGCGCGCAAGTGAGGTGAGTCAGTGGACAACATCCCCCCTCCCAAGTAAAACCTGGTGCCTTTTTCAGTGGCAAAAAATATAAGGCAAGGTCTTATTTTGGGGAAAACATGGTACAAAATGAGTCCAGTGAATCATGAGCAATCAGAAATGGGATGCTGATGAAACAGAAGACATGGAAAGCAAAAAGGTTGTAGTAGAGTCTCTGAAGGCAATAGGAAAAATTAGATTCTGACAATGGAGTCCAAGAAGGCAGAGCTAGAGGATATGCCATATAAAGGAAAGGAGATGACAGAAAAGGAGAAATTGATTACGCTAAGGAAACTAATTCAGAGAATCACTGTAAGATTGCATTGATGTAATGGCTAGGTGAGACTTACCAATAAAATCAAGCATAAAATAGTTGCAGTCAGTAGCAGTCACTATGGTTCTGATCCACAAAAGATCTACTAGGAAGCTATAACTTAGAGCCTTGAAGATTAAACTGGTATCAGCAATGTGAGGTTAATCTGCTTTTGCTACTTTAGGCTTTGCTAAATCCTTATAACGTGAAAAACAAAGGCTGAGTAGGAATCATTTCAAAGCTGAAAACATTCTCTTTCAAGTTCAAAAGCAGCTGCCTCAATCAGGGCGTTTGCCTCAAATGACTTCCAATGTAAATGAAGAATGTTCCAAGCTTCAGGCAAGAAAGGTCAAATTCAAGATTATTTGAATTCAAGTCACTATGCACAAACCTGCTAAATCCCATCCACATCTACATCTTTATCATCTGTATCTATATATGTATAGGTAAATTACATATATGCATATGTATAGGTATATGTACATCGATATTTATAGGCATCTATAACTATACCCATACCCATATCTATATCTATTTATTTATTTATTGTATTTATTTATTTTGTCAAGCAATTATAAGATAACAGGTATAAGCATAAACATAGTTATGGATACATGAAATGGATACATATAAGAAAAATAAAAAAGAAACAATAGGACAGGGACGGTATTCGTAGATTTTCACAGGTACAGGTCTTGGTATGTTCCGGTCTTTTCCTGTGTAAGATTGAGGGTATCTTGGTGACGTTTCGATGAGATCCCACTCGCTATCTTCAGGCTGGTGCTTTCGGCTTCGTGCTTGTGCGAACAAAGCGTGATCGGAGCTGCCGTCTCTCTAGAAATACTGGCCGAGGCCAAGACCCTCATCTCCAGAACCAAATGCCTAGCCGACAAAGACCACCTGAGAACAGAATTACACACCCTCACTAACATATTAATTTCCAATAGATTCCAAAGAAACATAATTACCAACCTAATCCTAAGGGAGACACCCCCAGAAACCAAGACACAGAACAAGACAAGGGTATCACACTCCTCCCCTACATCAAAGGCACCACAGACAAAATCAGCAAAATTCTCCACAAATACAATATCAGGACAGCCTTCATCACTGACCAAAATATAGCCAACATCCTAAGAAACCTCAAAGACAAGATCCAGCTAGAAAACTAAGGAGTTTATGAAATACCATGCAACAATTGCCCAGCCACATACAATGGACAAACCAACAGGAGAATAAATGCACGCACTGCAGAACACAAGAACGCAGTCAGAAAAGAAGAAAATACTTCCTCCCTTTTCCAGCACCTTAAAGACACAGGACATGAAATTAATTTTGAGGGAACCAAATTAATCTCCAATACTGAACACTTCAACAAGAGAATAATCAGGGAAGCCATCGAAATAGAGAAACACCCCCATAACATGAATAAATGGGATGATACCTCCCACCTACCAGACATCTGGAAACTAGCCCTTATCAACAAACAAGTCCCAGCCACGAAAACCAACACCGGACCCAAAACAACACAAGATGCCACCACCAATCTCCCTCACCAGACTCAAACCCAAACCCATCCCATAAATGAAAAGCAACTACCATCCAGAAACCAGACCACGGCTGCATCACCAGCTGCCACACACCCCGACCCCCAAGCCAAGCAAACTTACACACACCATGAACACATAGCCAGGCCTCAAATTCGGAGCCAAACCAAAACCCGGAACATCACATCACAGCCACCCACTCATGATATTACATCACGGAATTCAGGATGTTACACCACAAAACCTCAGTATGTTACAACACAGCCAACAACCCAGGAGGATGTCAATACAATAGAACTCAGAAGGTCATCACACAGCCCATTACCCAGGTCATTACAACCCAGGAGGCTGAAAGACACATAGCCAATACCCCAGCCACACATGTTCTTAAGAAAAAGTCAGCCAATCTGCAAACATCAACTCTATCAACCAATCAAGAAATGACAACACAGCCAACCTCCCCATCAGTATATATAGGGAGATGGCAGCTCCCATCACGCTTTGCTCACACAAGCACGAAGCCGAAAGCACCAGCCTGAAGATGGCAAGTGGGACCTCATCGAAACGTTGACAAGATACTTTCAATCTTACATGGGAAAAGATCCAAACACGCCAAAACCTGCATACCTATAGCCGTGAAAATTTATGAAAATATGTATGTATGTATGTATGTATGTATGTATGTATGTATGTATGTATGTATAGATATAGTATATCTATACCTAGATCTATATCTTTAGCTATATGTCTGTTGTTCACGACAATATGGAGCATGTGGGTCTCTGCATTTTCTGAAATCTAACAGACAAGTATATAAGAAACAGGCTTCTTGCTCAGAAAAGTTATGCTTTTTAAAATATAAATCTTCTCCCTAAAAATAACCTATCCTGGCTACATGATTATTGTATTTAGTTGTAGTCCTTTGATGAAACTATGTGACCTATGATTCCATTTCTGAGGATGGGGCAATTTGATTATTTTTGACTAGTTTTGAAAAAAAAAATTAACTCTTTGTAATTGTTGCTAAACACTTTGACTTTATTTTATAGGAAAAAGGAAAAATAGTTAATCAGATATTTTCCATACAGGTCATCTTTTTGGCCTGTGAAATTCATTTGCAAATATTGTCCCAAACGTGCTTTTTCAAGAGGCAATTGGTCTTTCTGGTTTTTCTGAAGAGCTTTGAAGAAACTCTTTGAAGAAAAATCAGAAAATCCAGTTACCTCTTGAAAAAGCACCTTTGGGAAAACCATGACCTGGATGGATGATTGAGAATCTCCATAGAAATTTGCAAATATTCAGCCTGAGAAAAAGGAGAGTGAAATTCCTTTTGAATCTGCCCTGGCAAAAGAAAGAAAGAAACTTGACAGTGTCAAAGAAGAGATATTGACTATCATGAATTGACTCAGAAAATCAAAGCAGCTTAAAGTTTTTATGAATACAGCTACCATATTAGGAGGACGGAATTCCAGATGACCTCTAGATGGAAGCAAATATATGGTAAGAAAAACTCTAAATCATAATGCTATCTAGTGGCTATCTGGATTTTTGCAGCCCAGAATCTGGATCTGGATCTGGAGGTTTAATATGAAATAAAAGGATTGTCTCTTTTTGGTAGCCACACTATTGCAGAAAAGCAGGCTGACCTGGAAGGCAGGGTTAAATGTGTCATCAGTTTAGAGTTTATTACATTGCCACAAGAGACCTACTATTTGTGACTGATTATTATACAGCTTCTGTTTGCGTGCAACGTTTAAACTTACAACCATTAACTTGAATGTTGCATGCTGATTTGACAACCTCTTGTGTAAAAAAAGCAACTGACAACCTACAGAATGAAATGCTTGCCCTTACATGGAAATAGTTTTTTTTCCTCATCAATTTCTGCCCAAGCTTTCAGCTAGTTAAACAAATTGAATCAAACACTTTTATTAAATTGCTTCAAATTTTACTGCTGATTCAAAAATATAATAACTAGACATCCCATGACCCATTGTGTCATCATTTCCAAGACACGACCTTACCTACATAGAGAAATAAAAAGACCAAGGATAGACAAAAAAGCAGTGGAAGTGGGGTGACTTCAGACTTCCCACTGGCTTCCCCATTGAATTGCCTTGTGGGAAGCTGACAGGGAAGACCAGAAACCTCCCTTCCTCTCTTGAATTCTTGCCAACTTCCACATTTACTTTGCTTTGCAAGGAGAAAGTCAATGAGGTAGCCAGTCATGTAGAAAGGGAAGAGTGAGTGGGAGGACGGTGGAGGTCAGGTAGGGTGAAGAGGTGCTGCATAGGTCAGGTCAGGCATGGCACATGGGGAGGTAGCGCAGATCAGGGAAGACACACCTGAGCTGACCAAGGTTGGGGAGTACATGGAGGAGGCATGGCAAAGGCCAGGAAGGAAGCACAAGGCTTCCTTCGACCCTTGCAGGTAACTGGCTGCTGCTGTTGGGTGAAGGAGGGAGAGAGGGATTGTGAGGCTGACTGGGGAACTGTCACAGACTGTTGATAATGAAGATCACATGACTGCAGCAGAAGCCCAGGAGCACAACTGCAGTCAATAGCACTGAAGTACCCACAGCTTTTCCAAATTTATTTCCTTTGGGGTGATAGATCCCAGATTTTGGACACATTCTATAAATTAGCCCATTTGAGTTCCTTGGTTCAAAAATTGTTGCCCTCTGATGCATGGTTTCACCCAGGTAAAGGTTATGACAACATAATCGTAATCTTTAGTAGTATATTGGTTTGCATACATCTCTCTTTTCAACCAATATTCAAGTTGAAGATTAAGAAACACATACCCTGTATGATAATTTTATCATTCAAGGAAGGGAGCGTCTCAGCTTCACCAAAAGTTTCCATGATGGAAGAAGGACCTGCTTTAAAAAAAAACAACCAGTGACTAGATTTATTTCAATGGAACATCACTGAAAACATATTATGCTCACCAGGTTCATATAAAAAGCTCCTCCTTCTCTTAAATTAGTCCATGCTATGATTTCCTTATAATATGTGTTGTCCTCTACTCAAGACTATTGCTAATGGGGATTCACACATAATATTAAACCATTACTTATTATTACAAAGAAAGCCACAAAGGACCTCTAGTTTTGTTGTTTAAATGCCAAAACTTCATTCTGAGATCTCTTATTTATTTAAAAAAACCTTTTTCTAATAATTCTAATGTTCCCTTCTAACAAATATTCCTTGGAAAGAAGCAATAATCTAAATTACGGGGAAAATGTTGATTTAACATGCCAAAATCCTCTTCACTGAAATCACTCCGCGCAAATTCCTTAACCTAATGTGTTTTCCTCAATTGGAAAGAGCAGGTTTATTGGCATCTAGACTAAGGTATGGGGAGTATAGGGAATGACTATGAAGGACAAAAGAAAGACTCGCTACTATAGCAACAATCATACAAGTGCAGCCTATTTCAAGAAACTATTTTGAATAAGTATCATACCAAGACCCTCCCTAGTTCATTCCATGATAAAGTGAAGGGGCAGGGGGAAGCCCATTCAGACTTGCAAGAGTATACTGCCACAGATATTACAACAAAAATAGACTTGACCTATATATCACTGATTTGGGTCTTATTGCGCTGATTCCGAACATGCTATCTACATAGACCTCGTGTTAAATATTGGTGGTGGGCTTCCTCCTTTGGAGCAATTTGCTCCCAGTTATTCAGGCAATACCAAGCTTGCTAAATTTTTGAAAGACTATAAAAATGCGGCTCTTCAACAGATATTTTGAGATGAATTATCATTATCATGCTACCCCCATTTCCCAGGCAGTGCATCCACTGGTTGTGATTACTTATTAATTGTACTACTCGATTGTTGTTTTTATATTGCTTTTTATGTATTATTGTAAGACCTACAGATTCTCTAGAAATGAAACAGTATATAAATTAGAGCAAGTTTCTCACACCTTGAACCTACACCACTGAAAATAGGAATATCCTTATTTAGGACCAATAAAAGCATTAATTTTTTTTAAGTTTTAATAAGCCTTCTGATTCTGTAGAAGTTGGATACCTTTTAGTTACAATTGTCTATGCATTCCATGGACTAGATGACCTACAAGGTCCCTTCCAACTCTGATTATCTGTTATCTGTTATCTATTCGGATAGCTGTTCTATATTCTCCACCCTTCCTGTAGGTGAGGTAAAATTAATGGGAACAAATGTATTTTATTTTAGAATATACAACTTTGTTTGGCCAATGGTTCACATGGGAAGAGAAGCCCAGCAGAGTTGAAGGGTTTCAAAAGAACCCTGCTGGGTCAGAAGGAAGGCCTATCTTCAAAACCAATATCCTGTCCCGCCCAGTGGCCAATTAGGTGCTTTCAGGAAGCCTTTAAGCAGTGTTTGAAGACAAGGCGCTTGGCAACTGACAGGAAATCTGCTCAGGAAACCATTCAGAGACATAAACATCTAAATTTCCCCTGAAAGTACCCAGGACCACATTATAAAATAAGCACCATTGAAACATTTTTTTGAATCTGAGCCACTTCAGTGAAATCACCTGCCCATGTGTTTAAGTTCTGTATATCATTCTATAATAATCTCCTTGGTAGTTTGCAACTTTTTTGTACAACTCAATCACAAAGTGGTAAAAGAGCTTATGCATTGATTCCATTTGACGGTGAACAATCGTATCCCTTACAATCGTATCTTTTTACTTCAATTATATCTCAAAGAAAGACAACACAAGGAAATTCCTTTCAAGATTTATTTGAAAAGAGGGACAGCAATAGAAGAGACAAAAAATGTAATAGAAAACAACAAATAACAGCAAAAGAACCTTAACCCAGGAACAAAATTATCTTAATCACTAAGTGGCATTACCCAGACAAATTCTTAAAAATTCCAAGAAGTTCCCTTTGTACAGAAAGAAGGTGGAGGGAAGATTTTGTTGGTTAAATTAAACTAAACGTGAATTGTCCAGAACTTTAAGGACAATAAGCTTTCTGGAGGATACACACCCTCAGGAGTTCCAGCACAGACTCCTTCAGAATATTTTAAAATCTAAATACTTCTAAATGCATTCATCACATCCATTCAGTATTGATCTATACTCCATCAAGAATTTTTGGGCATGATGAGAGAAATAAGGAGAAGCAAATTCCTGCTTTCATATCGCTGAGGGTGTCTTGTATCCTAGAAACATCAAAACCAGTAATTATCAGGCTAAAAATCTGGTTTTTCTACACTAAGATGGGAGATAGTCCCAGACAGCACCACAGTCTGTCCATCAATTTAAATATTGTATATTCTGCAACCTTCAGAATTTTGCTACGTGATATTTTAACTCACCAGAGGCTAATTCCCACGGTGCTTATGTCTAGCAACAAAACTATTTCATATACCTGCCTGGGTTGAAAAATGTAGGCCCATCCATATATGACAAATAGCGTGCTTTAGCTGTGAGAGGGACAACATTTTTAGATCAATATCATACATCAATTTTAAAGTGTTTCTTTCTGAAAAAGTACAAGAGTCTAAATTCCCAAGGATGAAGATCAGAAATGGGGCTTGGTTCAGACACAGTCAGGCATGATAAGAGATGAAGTTCAGCCACATTTGAAAAGTCACAGGTTCTTTGACTTTATCTTACAATTATCACTACAACTTGAAATAAAACATGAGGGACAACTGAGAAGTTCAGGAAGAAAGATAAGGATTTTACCTGTGCTGGAGAATTCCAAAGTTGTCGGTGTAGAAATTTCTGTAGTTTTCTCACTGATATTTTCTGATGGGATAGAAGTCTCTAGTTTTATGTAAAAATAAAATCGATAATTAGTTACATACAGAATATGTATTTCTTACAACAGATTTGTGGTAAAAAAATAGGTGAGAAATGTTGCTGTTCCTTTTATCAATTTCTTGCAATGTTCCATTGATATTTAATTAGTTGTTTAATAACTTTGGGAGATTTTCAACTATGTCTTAGTATACATGTCAATCTTTCATCAATTTAATCAATTTAAATCAGTTTAAAAGTTTTTGTTATTATGGGTAATGGATTTGTGTGTTACCAGAAGAAAAGCATTCACCCAATCTTAGGTAATTTATCCAGGTTTGGGGAGTATTACCTTAGACTGAGAACAATACTTCCACAATAACTAATTAAATATCTCTATCCAACTTTTACAGAGCCTAACTAAACCAGTTTTTCAACCATATATGTGTTTGATATTTTTTCCATCATGGAAAGGAATGAATTTTGAAAGACTTCTCCTATTTCTTCTCTAAGCTGCTTTTTTGGCAATTGTGTTCCAGGGTTCTTAAAATCTGCTTGTAAAGTTCAAAAGTGAAATAATTAATGATGCATTAGTTATGACTCACAATATAGAAAATAGACAATAATTGGCTAGGTGGGTGGTATGTACATATTTTCCTCTTGTTAATCAAGACTATAGTAAGAGTCATTTTGGGAAATTTCTACATTTTTGGAAAACTGCACAAATTTGTCAAAGAGATATTGACACACAAGTTTCTATATTTAATCTTGTTATATAACACAGAACATGACATATAGTATGTTGGAAAAATCTTGAACCTTTAACTCTTCTTCCACTTTGGTTTCTTGAAAAGGTGCTGGGAGATTTTAAGAAGGAATCCTTAATATTCTTCCCAACTGTTTTGCATGACTTCTGCCTTCTGAACAGCCCTGAACAAATGTTCTAACTGAGAAAGATTGTGAACCTTTTGGAATAACGCAATCTGAGTGCTAACAAGGCTGAAATACTGCTTTTGCCTTGTAGAGTCAGAGAGTAGAGGAAATAATTCATTTCTGTTGTCTGGAGCCTCTTTGTCATGTAATGCCAGAGACCCTGTTTCTCTCTTCATCACCTTGCTGCCTGAAAATAACATTTTGTGCTGACACCAGACAGATGACCTCATTTCAGATAAGCCCCAAAGCGGAATGAAGACAGCGTTTCTCATCAGAATCCATTATGCCTTTGTCAATAACTGACTAGGAAATTTAATCAAGCTGGTGTTCTCCACTGGACAGAATATGTCTTCTTGTTTCTAAGGTAAACCAGTGGCCCAGTCTCTATAGATCAGTTTATGTTTGTATCAAAGCTTCCAGCATGCTCAAGTTCTCATTCAGAAAAAAAGTGATGAGCAAAGAATAGTTAGGCAAACTCTACCATTAAGCAGAGCCAAGCAGCTTCCTTTAGAATGGGATGTATCTGTGAATTAAGGAGACTACAGATAGTCCTTAACCTACAATCACAATAGTGATAAAAAAAAATGTCATTAAAGAGTATGGTTGTTAGGTGAGACATTACATGACCCCAGCAAATTTTATTACAATTTTTGCTGTGATCATTAAGCAAGACATTAGAGGACTGCAGCTTCAGCCTCCCTTGCTAGCATATCCACTAGCTTTCTGGAAGCCAGCTGAGAAAGTAACAAATGGCGACCACATACTACAACAGTTGTGTGAGAACTAGTCATAAGCCACTTTTTTCAGCACTGTCAGAACTTTAATAGTCGTATGTCAAGGAATGTCTGTATACAGACAGATCTGTTTGTTTTTTTCTGAAGTGCTGAAATAAGAACAGTATTTCATTCTCCACTTCAGCCGACAAAATGTCTTAAGACTGTAGTTTGGAATATTAACTGTTAGGCTTTACCTTCTGTTATGTTGGATTCTATTAATTTTTTTTACTTCATTTTGACTTTTTTTCAGCTCATTTTAACTTTTTTTCAATTTTTTTGAAATATATAAAAATATTGAAGCCATTTACAGCCGGTAATGCAAGTGGGTGATATATACACATAGTCATCATAACTGTTTGAATACACTAGCACTATCTGATATGCCAATATTCACATGCTATTGCAACCATCCCTATCCCTCCCTCCCCCATCCATCCATCCATCTATCTTAGCCATATGTCAGTATCTGAAGATTGTGTTGCATTCATTTCAAGAGGATTACTGGCCCCAGAGTCATTTTATATGAAAGCGGATATAATAAATAGTCCGTGCAATTCATTGCCACACATATGGTGATGGCCACTAACTGTTGGACAACTTTAAAAGGATAACTTTCATGGAAGAGAGGACTATCAAGGACTCTAAGACTTGAAGTACAACATTACTTCTGGTTTGAAGGCAGCATGTCTTTGTTAGCAGCTTCTGAATATCGCAAAGTATTTTGGTGACCTGTTGGACTAAGATTGGTGTTAGCCTGATTCTGCGGAGCAATTCTAGCATACATTTGTAACAATGGAGACTGGCTACAAGAAGAAACTTGACACCAAGGCCCTGTAATGTTTTCAAACATTTGTATTTTTAAAAACCAGAAGAAAGCAACCAATCAATGGGTAACTGGAGACAAAGTGCAAATTTCAAAAATAAAAAACGTTCACACACCCACAAAGCATGAAAGTATATGCTGCTATGAATGTGGCAAAATATAATGTCAGAAGTGGGAATTCTCATCATGTCAAAAAGGACAGGTGAGTTTCATAGATGTGGATCAGCAGCTTTGCAAAATATGTTAGCAGAGGGTTAGTAACCATGACTACTAATCATGATGGCTATAGATAATCTCCAATATACAAAGTCTTATAATTCTACATAGTCTGGTTCCTTATTCTATGCAGGGGGTACCAAACTTGATCATGTTGTGGGCCGAATCGTAACGCATTGCAACGTTTTTGGCCTTTGTGGAGCAGGGGTAGGCGTGGCCTCCAGCTGTCAGTTTTACAGGCCTGTATGGGATAGTAAGATTTCATCCTACCCTGTTTGAGGGGCTTTCCTTGATGAATTTGAGAAAAGGCTGGAATAGAGAGGTTCCTGGTATGATTCAAGATAGTTTTTTCTCCCAACATTTTTACCCTGTTACTGGATCAGTAGCTGCAGCAGTGAGTAGATGAGTCAAATCAAGAAAAATATAAGTGGGAATAGCTATCTATATACCTAGTAGTTAAGGCACTGGGCTAGAAACTAGGAACTTGTGAATTCTAGTTGTGCCTTAGACATGAAAGCCAGCTGGGTGACTTTGGACCTGTCCCTCTCTTTCCACCCATCACAGGATAGAAGAGCGGTGCAATGTCCTCGCCTCATAATCAGGAAGCTGTAAGTTTGATCCTAGGTAGAGGCAGATATTTCTCTCTCTGGGCACAATGGGGATATATCTGCTGAACAAAACTCCGCATTGGTGACTGGAAGGGCATCCGGCCATTAAATAATCTTTTAGCTTCATTCAGTTGCCCAGACTCCATCCCACAAGGGATTATGAGGTTGTTAAAAAATTATGATGATAGGGTTGTTCTGAGGAAAATAGGAGGAAGAAATATTAGATATGTTCATCATCTGGAGTTATTTATAAAAATAATAAAAGTGGGATATAAATAATAAAATTATCTATCTATCTATCTACTATCTATTAGCTATCTATTATGATTTATTATCATACATACATAAACATACATACATACATCATCTTCATCTTTCATGTAATTGTGTAGCTACAGATTCTTGCAAGAGGGGAAAAAACCCCAGCAAAACCCAACCCCAAATCTTTGACAAATATATCATTCATGTCTAATCTCTGTAATTCTGTAAGTAAAGTGGGCAGGGTCACATTACTTACAACACATATAATGGCAAAGTAAGTTCTTAACCAATACAAATGGATGAGTTAAAAGTTCTGGTATTTTGCCTACACCCCCTTAACTAAACATACTGCACTAGGGAGTAAATTCTTTTCTTTTCCTGAAATGTGTTTAAACTTAAGAAATCATTTACACTGAAGGGATTATAGCATCTTAAACCCAAATACTTGACCAATTCACGGAGTGCAACCTTCACCTATCACAAAACTCTGGCGAAGCAAGGTGGGCAGTTTTCCTAGCATTATCTTGGCCTTTCCTAAAGCTGCTAAAATTAATGTGTTATTGGAAGAACATTTAAACTTGGTTTTGTTTAGTTTAAAATTATTTAGCCTACTTTGGGTTTATTGATTGAAACTAAACCACTGAACATCAGAGAATATACCAATAAAGTGTTCTGACCCAAACCTTGTTCCAAGGAAACAAACACCAAACAGAGGTAAAAGCAAAAGCTTTTAAATGCTTCTCTGCAAATTCCGTTCCTTTACAGTTAAAAGGCTATGAAAACTAATTGTCTCTGATAAGAACGAGTGAGCGTTGCTAAGGTTGTGCAAGGCTGCCAAGAACACTAGATTAAATTGCAAGGACATATTCAAAACCAAAAGTCTCCAAACACAAACCAGGATAGTCCAAACTTCCACAAGGCTTGAAGTACAAGAACTTCTTTGCTTCCAACAAAGAATCCCGGTCTCTCAGGCTGGCTTTTATCTCTTAAGGGAGGGGCCATTACCTTGCAGCCTTACTCCTGAGTCGCCCATGCTGCTGCAGCTGCTCTTTCCTTCGAGCAGTCCTGCACGCACACGCACTGGGCACAGGCTCCTCGGGGTCCTCTGCGTCACTGCTGCCAGCCTCCACAATCTCTGAAAGCAGCACTCCACTTTCTAATAGTCCTGGTCCCATCCCTGCATCACATGCAGGCCCCTCATCCAAGTCCTCACTCTCTGAGGCCTCAGCCATCCGCACATGCTGCCAGTAAACCAAAACATAAAGAGAGCACCAAGAATGTTGCTATACTGTTCAGCTTCTCAAGGGCAGGTGGTTGGGCCTCTGGATTAGACCAGCTTTGAATATCCAACCATAGTTACTTGGGACACTTTAAAGTGGATTCCTATATAAACTAAAAGGCTTCACTTGA